AAGTTTCTGGAACACAACATTGCAAGTTGATAAAAGCGTTGTAATAAGTTGAGATATGGCGGTTTTAAGTGAACTGGTGCCGAGATAGGTCTATCGTCTATCCTCCACTCAGCCATCGATATGAAGAAACATACCTACATTCAAAGCAAGTTAAATAAAGGCTTGCAAAAAGCCATCCCTAGGTTCAGAAAACAATGTTTTTTTCGCAATTGCATGCAAAAATACTTTAGACTCAAAGGAGAACGGCGACCTTTTTTGTACGATCTATTGTATACACATACATATAATGTTAAGCTTGAACATGCACCAAAACCTTCAGCGTTTACCCACTAAAAATAAAATATTTTGTTTAGGAGCAAATTTCTTACTGATCTACAGCATATGCGCTTAGATAGCAATCTACTACCTCAAACATTATCTCGTAATGCACATTCAATAGTCCCTGTAGCAGTACATATTAAATGATTATCTACAGTCCCTTCCCCACACCCAGTCAATCATTTGCGAATGTGTCAACGTAAGCTATTTACATTCACCCTCTCACCCGCTCACTCCATCACTCAACAACTCATTCCCACTCTATTAGAGAGTACTTACTTACCTTTGCCCTTGGTCCAGACGTTAATTTCCTCACTGGACACACCATCGCCAACAATATTATGCGCCGACATCTTGATGATATACTGATTGCCACACTTCAAGCCAGTTATTGTATAAGCGTTATTCTCCGGCATCAGTTCGGTCTGTGCCCATGTTTCGCCAGTGATGCGATACGAGATGCTATAGCCCTGCAGTGGGGCACCACCATCCTCTGGCGGATCCCAGCTGACACGTATGCTATCGGCGCTTGCATATTGTACGATGATTTGTGGGGCGGCAGGTGGCTTCATGGCAATCACTTGATATTGAATCTCATCGCTTCCGAACAGATTATTCGCTGTGCAAGTGTAATTTCCGGACAGACTACCCTCCACGCCTGTTATCCCGTTGTCCAGTTGACCAGTGGGGTGTATTACGGTCGCCATTTCCCATTCGCCAATCAGAAAAACATTCATCCGACGTATGCCACATTTATATTTGCATATATATGTATAGGTTTGTTTGTGTGTTGCACGGCGCCATTGCGTTGTGGTTGTGGCATGCAACGAAAAAATAAATTAAAATAGAAAAGGTTGCAAATATGTGCAGCTGCATGGAAAATTGCATTTTTATTTTACAGATAATTGGAATTTGACACAACGCTGGTCAGCACTGCCGAGCTGTGGGTGCATTCGACACTACCCAAAAATATGCGCAAGGATCAGTTGACGGCTGAAGTGGCTTGGGAAGCGAACGCAGGCGGGAATAAGCGCATTGTCTGAATAATAAATTAATTTGAAGAGCGCTTGATGTGAAGCAGATTTTAATTTTCAAAGCTGCAAGGTTATTAGATTTGAATATTTAAGGGCCACATTTGGCTACAAATAGGTGCGATTTACAGTAAATCTCTCCTATGTTGCACTCACATAATTTCGCGGGAACCCCGGAAGGTATGTTTCAAGTTATAATCATCTCCGGCAATAAATCTGTGCCGAGAGTTTTCAAAAACTTTTCATATTTTCGCTGATGGCCTTTTTTGATCTTGTGCCAAGATATTTGTAGCTTGTAAATATTCCGTGCGGTACGAGTTATTTTATAGGGCTATTCGCGATTCGGTGCATAAGAGCTGACAAATGTATGCAATTGCAGAAATATGCCATGGATTGTGAGCGACCTTTATTAAACTGTCATGGTAAAGCTTTTGCAAAACAATTTTTGTGCATCAGCTTTGGTTTTGTTTATGAATGCAATGCATAGCATTTTTATGCTATGGATTTTCGGTATTGCAAATTTGTCAAGCCATGACAAATGCAAATGCGTGTATTTTGTTTGTGTATTGCAAATAATTTGCAATACAAATTTGCAATGCAATGATGCTAGGCCATTTGCACCGGATCGCGAATAGCCCTTATGTCTTTATTGTCTGGGTGCATCGTGTGGTAAAAAAAACTTACAGTTTTGCATTTCAACGTGGCCTTTATTGTTGAAGTGGATCTCAGACATGATGTGTATATCTATGTTTCGGGTCTTTAGAAACGCTTTCAGGTAGATTATTTATTTTGAAAGCCCACTAACGTTCCAACAGATGATTACCAATATAATTTAGGCAATAATTATTACTGGAAGTGGCAAAGAAGAAGATCGTCCTCTGCCAGGAGTACTATTAGTTAGTATCCACAAACTTGCTAAGTCCAATAGAGGCACAGAAAGCTCGAATCCTTCTCAGTTGCATGAAGTTTTACTCTGCATTAAACAATCAAAACGTTGTGTTTTGCAAAATACTTCAAACAATGCCTCTAAAAAGTTCCCATGCCCATGCAGGTATCAATCAACCTCATTGGGAGTTTCATGTAGAATGGCAGTCNCTTGCTAAGTCCAATAGAGGCACAGAAAGCTCGAATCCTTCTCAGTTGCATGAAGTTTTACTCTGCATTAAACAATCAAAACGTTGTGTTTTGCAAAATACTTCAAACAATGCCTCTAAAAAGTTCCCATGCCCATGCAGGTATCAATCAACCTCATTGGGAGTTTCATGTTCTTCGAGAGTCGAGTCGTATCGAAAAATACATAGCATTGCCTCAAAATTCCATTTGACGAGTGCAATAAAATGGGAAAACTTGGCAGCGCTGGATAGTTTTCGACAGTTTTCGTGTCTAATAATTTCAGCACGACAATAGGCAATGCCAATGTTGTCGAGTCGTGCATTTTAGTCTAATTTACGACGTACGCAATGAGGCTGAATACTTTTACTTAGACGTAGAAAGAAAGTATGGAGACCTGAAAAATACCAATTCTAAAGAATCGATACTTTTTCCCATGATTGCATTCCGTATGAATTCAATATGTTACATTGAATTTTTTTTGTTTTGAAATTTTTATCGAAAATGGGTTCAGTTCAATAAAAAATTGCAAAACCATCCCACTCTAAAACTGTCAAGAGCTGTACAAAAGTACAAATCGGATTATCCCCACTTAGATATATTTTTTTGTAATGAACTCTTCGTGAGTCTTTTTTTCTTCTTTTTNAGAAAGTATGGAGACCTGAAAAATACCAATTCTAAAGAATCGATACTTTTGCCCATGATTGCATTCCGCATGAATTCAATATGTTACATTGAATTTTTTTTGTTTTGAAATTTTTGTCGAGAATGGGTTCAGTTCAATAAAAAATTTCAAAACCATCCCACTCTAAAACTGTCAAGAGCTGTACAAAAGTACAAATCGGGTTATCCCCACTTAGATATTTTTTTTGCAATGAACTCTTCGTGAGACTTTTCTTCTTCTTTCTTTTCTTCAATAACAGAGCTAGACTTCCGTGCCTTTAGTATTTTCCCTGTTCACATGACAGATGCTAAACGCGCGTTTACAACTACTCGTGTTTCGTTGCATTTTACTCAAGTTGTTCACATGCTTACTCGCATCAAACGCAAGGAAAATCGTGTATGTGTTAGTGCGCGTTATTAAAACGCGTGTTAAGCACCTGTCATGTGAACGGGGTCTAATAGAGTTACCCAGTGAGTTTAACATCGCCTTGAAACGTTTGCACTGAGCATTCATCCAGTTCACTCTTCCACTCGAGCAGTTGTGCCGTGTATATGTCGCTTATACCAATTTTGGTGAAACAATTCGAGCGTATATTCCAAGGCGAATTTATACAAGGTGGTGTTATTGACGAATTTAGGTTTTCGACGCAGTCCTTTTGAATGTCAAAACGATGTGTTTATTGTAAACAAAGCGAATTCATATTACAACAAACACATCATGTTGACCAAGGTGTATTAAACAAGGTGGTGTTGGGGCGACAGCTGAGTTTTTCGCCGTGGAGGCCATTACGTCAAAATGATGTGTTTATTGTAACTCATACCAATGACAGTATGGACATCAGCGTATAATTTGTTAGTGTAATTTTTTACTTATATACGGCCAACACCACCTTGTTAAATACGCCTTGATGATGACATTCAGAAGGACCACGGCGAAAATCAAAATTCGCCAGTAACACCACCTTGTATAAATTCGCTTTGGTATATTCTTTGCATTCTAACGACTTTATCGTCTTCTCGCGGTTTTTGCTGGAAATTAAGCAGCTATAAAAAACAAGGCGCTTAGTACCAACAGTGGGGGACAAATTGCCGAAACCAAATTTGCCTTAGTATCAGGTTTCGATACGAATACTTTCTTTTTTTTGGTTTATCGATACCTACTCAGTACTTGGTTCAAAAGTATCGATACCAACGATACTCGGTATCGAACGAAACTTTTTTAATTTTAAGTCAAAGTGTTCGATAGCATTTCAGTGCTATTATTGGTAGTCACGCACAACTACACACACAGTTTTGTCATACTCACGGTGTATTTTCAAATTTCCCTCATTGGTCACCTCGTAGAAGGGGCTGAAAGTTACAGGTCGATCTCTGGTTAACCAACGGGCGCGCGGCGTCGGATTCCCTACAGCCAAACATTCTAAAATTAATGCGCTGCCAACTGCCTTGCGTACCAGTTGGCCAAATGAAGCAATGCGTGCGGGAGCTGGAAGTGTAAAGAATTCAGTGTAAAAAATGCAAATAAAATGACAGCAATAATAAAACTACAGAAAAACCACAAGTTAATATAAGTACATAATTAACGCACATACATATGTACATACATATGCATGTTAGTAGCACTCATACACTTTTCAAGACACACACACGTATGTACATATACATATATATACCACATGCAATTCGAAACAATAAAGTGCCATTGAAATTCA